GTGGTAGTAGGTTGGTAGACAACAATCACCCAGGGAGGTACTACCGTCCTGTGGTAGGAGGTTGGTAGACAGCAACCACCCAGGGAGGTACTACCGTCCTGTGGTAGTAGGTTGGTAGACAGCAGTCACCCAGGGAGGTACTACCGTCCTGTGGTAGCAGGTTGGTAGACAGAAACCACCCAGGGAGGTACTACCGTCCTGTGGTAGTAGGTTGGTAGACAACAACCACCCAGGGAGGTACTACCGTCCTGTGGTAGAAGGTTGGTAGACAGCAACCACCCAGGGAGGTACTACCGTCCTGTGGTAGTAGGTTGGTAGACAGCAGTCACCCAGGGAGGTACTACCGTCCTGTGGTAGTAGGTTGGTAGACAACAATCACCCAGGGAGGTACTACCGTCCTGTGGTAGAAGGTTGGTAGACAGCAACCACCCAGGGAGGTACTACCGTCCTGTGGTAGTAGGTTGGTAGACAGCAGTCACCCAGGGAGGTACTACCGTCCTGTGGTAGTAGGTTGATAGACAGCAACCACCCAGAGAGGTACTACCGTCCTGTGATAGTAGGTTGGTAGACAGCAACCACCCAGGGAGGTACTACCGTCCTGTGGTAGTAGGTTGGTAGACAGCAACCACCCAGAGAGATACTACCGTCCTGTGATAGTAGGTTGGAAGACAGCAATCACCCAGGGAGGTACTACTGTCCTGTGGTAGTAGGCTGGTAGACAGCAACCACCCAGGGAAGTACTACCGTCGTGTGTGGTAGTAGGTTGGTAGACAGCAACCACCCAGGGAAGTACTACCGTCGTGTGTGGTAGTAGGCTGGTAGACAGCAACCACCCAGGGAAGTACTACCGTCGTGTGTGGTAGTAGGTTGGTAGACAGCAACCACCCAGGAAGTACTACCGTCGTGTGTGGTAGTAGGCTGGTAGACAGCAACCACCCAGGGAAGTACTACCGTCGTGTGTGGTAGTAGGTTGGTAGACAGCAACCACCCAGGGAAGTACTACCGTCGTGTGTGATAGTAGGCTGGTAGACAGCAACCACCCAGGGAAGTACTACCGTCGTGTGTGGTAGTAGGTTGGTAGACAGCAACCACCCAGGAAGTACTACCGTCGTGTGTGGTGTAGGTTGGTAGACAGCAACCACCCAGGGAAGTACTACCGTCCTGTGTGGTAGTAGGCTGGTAGACAGCAACCACCCAGGGAAGTACTACCGTCCTGTCAAGTGAGTATAAAACGGAAGCCTGTAATTCTTTTACATGATGGTAGGATTGCTGGTGTCTTTTTTTTTTTCTCATAAACATGCAAGATTTTAGGTATATCTTGCTACTTATACTTACACTTAGGTAACACAACACATGCATGTACAATATATACACACTCCTCTGGGTTTCCTTCTTTCTTCCTACTAGTTCTTGTTTATATCCTCTTATCTCCATGGAAAGTGGAACAGAATTCTCCTCCGTAAGCCATACGTGTTGTAAGAGGCGACTACAATGCCGGACGCAAGGGACTAGTAACCCCTTCTTAGTATAATTACTAAATTTGAAAGGAGAACTTTCGTTTTTCTAGTGGGCCACCCCACCTCGGTGGGATAAGGTCGGTTTGTTGAAAGAAGAAGATATCCGCTTTGTATTCGAGGCGCACAAGCCTAAACTGCATTCCTGTGGTCACCTTAGCCAGGTGTAAGCACGGAGGCCGGAGCCATCTAATGATGATATACAGCTCTAAAATGGTCTGATGACCAATGTGTGCTGTGGCATTCTGACCTTACAGGGGAAGGTTGAGTGGAGGATTTGGTTACCCTGTTTGGGTAATAGCTACAACCAGTCAGTATCTTTAAGGCCGGCAACTGGTTCACATCACATTTACTTCCTACTCTGTTAGTAGTAGAGAGTACTCTGTTAGTAGTAGAGAGTACTCTGTTAGTAGTAGAGAGTATTATATTCTCTCTTCGATAATGAATTGGCTTGTGTTGACCAGTGTTGCTACTAGTGTATACAACATATATGCTGTCTGGTGAATAAAGGTAATCGCAAGTTATAACCGCATCTACTTTGTGTTACTGACAGTGAGCTGGACCTACCTGGTATGGGTCAGTAGGCCTACTGCAAAGTTCCTTTATTCATTTGTTCTCGTGTGTCTTAGCTGACTGCTACTGTCAGCTACTAGCCGTGGATTATAGCACAACCCGCTACTACATGCTTGCTACGACCTCTGCAAATGGTGTCAGTGGTACCGTGTGTTTCTGGTTCCTCTAGAAACCATTACCAGAATTGTTTACACCGTCAGCCGTACCATAGTTCACCTCTGCTCTGGTTAACAAAATGATCCGCAGTGCTACCCTATGCTACCGTTTCTACGACTACCGTAAGCACCTACAATCGTGTTATGGATCAGTACCACAGCACATCAGAAATAACTGGCCGTACCTCTAACTATACCATACATACCATCAACACGAAATAAGACACATGTGCAGTGCTTGGGCACATTAACTGAAAAAAATGTTTCGCCACGAATGGCTCCGTCAGCCCTAAAGAAGCCATTAGTGGTGAAACGTTTCCTCAATAAAATATCCTAAACACATGTGCAACATCTGGGTATCTTTATTTTTACACGTTTCGCTATCCAGTGGCTTTATCAGTACAATACAAGGACGTAATGTAAAGAATTTACATCTATATACAAAAGATGAGGTAGTCAGTCCCTCGGTCTTTGAGTAGATGAAGTCACTGGATGGCGTGACGTCTACAAATAAAGACATCCAGATGATGCACAAGTGTCTAATTCTTCACCCTGTCTGTAATATGTACCACTCATGTACAAAATATCCTAGAAATGCACACGTGTCTTGTTTTATATCAGTCAGTATATCAAACCGACTCTTAGCACCATCAGTGTTATGATCTGATTTCATTTATTTATAATTTTTAAGCATTTTTTTTCATTGTTTCTACAGCTGTGTATACTTTTGTATATTTACAAAATTTTCTACAATACTATACAGTCGTTAATTTAACCTACACCATTACCAATGTCTTATAAATTATAAATGCTCTAGTAATGAATTAACACAATTCGTACCATTTTCCTCCTGCATTCAACAGACTCGTTCTCGACACAATAGACTCGCTCATAATATAAAAAAATCATCCTGGAGACAACAAGCTCGTCCTGGACACAACAGATTCGTTACGGACACAATAAACTCTCCCTAAAATTAACAAGTTGCCCTGAATATAAGAAACTTGCCCTGAACATGCCAGACTCACGCTGCACACATAAAAGCTCATTCTGAACATATTAAACTCACCCTGAGGACAGCAACTCCCTGGACACCGGAAAACTCATCCAGAACAAACCAAAACTCACTCTGAATATATCACACTCACCCTGGACATATAAAACTCACTCTGAGCACATTAAACTCTCACTCTGAGCACATTAAACTCACCTTAAACACAGTAAAACTCCCTCAACACACCAAAACTCACTCTGAACACATCAAACTCACCCCAAACACATTAAGCTCACCGTGAACACAGCAAATTAGTCTGAAAACAGGAAAACTCACCCTGAACATAACAGAAGCGCTCAAGGCAGAGAAGCAACTTCCGCATGACCCGGATTCCTGCGCATCAAGCCATCATCAATTCCAGCGGTAAGAAGACAATGTTTCAAGACTAAAGGTTTAGAAACCGAGGGCGAGAGCCTTTCTTCTCTGTGGTCAATCTATCTCCACTTTTACTACGGTAATTCTCTCAGTGGAGCTCCCAGAGACAGTTTCTTAACGTTTCACGCAGCTTTACACAATATTATTTTCTTGAATTTTGTGTTATGTTATGTAAGAATATTTTGGTTAGATTAGGCAAAGTTTTTTTTTTTACGTTAGGTTAAGTTAGGTTATGTTGAATAAGGTTAAGTTAGGTGAGGTTAGGTTAGTTAAGGTTAGATATGGTTAGGTTAGATTACGTTGGATTAGATTACATATTTAATTACATAAAAAATATGAATAAGCAGGTAGCCACAAGTTTAGTACTGGTGGTGCCAGGGTGTATTGTTACAGCTGTGTCGAGAGATGTCATCCGTCATCCTAAGGAAGCATGAGGGTGTTACAGAAGGTAGTACTTGAGGTTGTGTTTAGGAAGATAGCACTGAGGGTGTGTTTATGAAGGTATTACTTGAGGGTGAATTTAAGAAGGTAGCACCCCCATCCCTCCTGATTAGCTATACGAAGCTAGCCCTCAAAGAAGAGTTTATGAAATTACCACTTAAGGAAGTATTTTGTTAGGCCGGCGTTCTGAGGACGAGTTTGTTGTAAGGAGGGGAAGGGGGGATCCTGGAGGAGCACTCGAGGGCAGGTTTGGTCAGCCATGATCAAGGATCCGGTCCTGAGCACCTTGGGGTTCCTGCAGGGAAGCTTGTGTCTCTTCGTTTCCTTGTTCCAGCTCCGAGGACAAGTAAGCCAGTAGGTATACCTCCGCACCTTCACTGAACACGACGATCTGCATACGATTACCTATTATTTACAGTCTAGACACGTTCAAACAAAAGTAATTAAGAACAAACACTTGTATAGATCACAGGGCTTTATGATAGCAATGTTTCTCTCTACGTAGAGCTTTATCAGTCAAATATTGACTTAATAAAACTCTATACAGAGCGAGACATCGTCGCAATAAGCTTGCTCTGAGCCTGTACAGTGTCTTCTTCACCTGGTGAGGACTTTTGATAATATATGGCACTTGCATACGCTGTGCATACTGTCCTTCTGAATGCTGCATCAACAAGTGCGACAATTATCATGACAGAGATACAGTACTAAGTCAAAATCCTCTGGCTTCAAAAGCAACTGATAGCCTGCTTTACCCTTGTTTCGACGTGATTGGTGGAGGTTCATGGGGTTGGCTGGTCCGGGCAGCTGATTGGCCGGGTGCCGGGTACTGGGCGGGGCCACGGTACTCCTTGGCAGGAACCAGAAACGAAGGACCTTAGTGTCAAGATGGTTACGAAAGCTCTAGCACTGGTGATTCTCGCTCTCGTGTCAGATATAGTGGGGCTGGAAGCTAGCCACTCCGGTCCGGGAGCGACACGAGTGGAGACTTCTGCGAAGGACGGTAGGTGCTCATGTCAGAGACGGTCAGTCAGTGGAAATAAGTCACTTTGGCGTTTTTGGGTTATTCTGGGTAATTTACACACATGTTACAATGTATGATAATTGGTGTAACTGTATTTATGTCCACCTGTACCTAAGTAATGTTAGTTAGTTACTTGTCTCCACCGCTTGTCTTGTCTTCCTAACGTCGTAATGAGTACCTTTGTATTAGTATTTGATTCTTGGGCAGTAAACCTTTGACGCAGGCGGAAAGTTCTTTTACCCAAAGAATTGGCGAGTAGACCCTCTGCTTCCATTGATTAGTTTTGATAACCTTCCCAGGCACTGCGTGACCCTAATAATAATAATATTTCGTGAATACACATATCCCGTTATCAAGTGCAATTATTAATCGCATGTCTTTAGGAAGCAACTTACCACACAGTACTCCAGGAAGGAAAGGGTGTTATCGATGCTGGGTGGCGTGACTGTGTGGCTCATGCAAGTTGTTGGGGTCGTTGTATTGCGTCAAGTGCAAGTGGAGGGGGTAGGAGGGCTGGGACGTCAGGGCAGACGAGGTCACTGATGGGTACTGCGACGTGGAGGTTCATAGTAAACCAGTTCACTAGGTCACCTACCTGACGGAAACATAGAACACAACCTGTCCTACTGCCAACATTGAGTGTTCTCTCTCTCTCTCTCCTTTCTCTCTCTCTCACACACACACTTGGCCACCGAGCCAGCTGGCCCAGTGGCTTACACACTAACCTGGAGTTTTTCTACCTGTCATGAGTTCTAACCCCCTCTCTCGTGTGTGTGTGTGTGTGTGTGTGTGTGTGTGTGTGTGTGTGTGTGTGTGTGTGTGTGTGTGTGTGTGTGTTTGTGTGTGTGTATGTGTGTGTGGTGTGTGTGTGTGTGTTGTGTGTGTGTGTGTGTGTGTGTGTGTGTGTGTGGTGTGTGTGTGTGTGTGTGTGGGTGTGGGTGTGTGTGTGTGTGGGTGTGTGTGTGTGTGTGTGTGTGTGTGTGTGTGTGGGTGTGTGTGTGTGTGTGTGTGTGTGTGTGTGTGTGTGTGTGTGTGTGTGTGTGTGTGTGTGTGTGTGTGTGTGTGTGGGTGTGGGTGTGTGTTGTGTGTGTGTGTGTGTGTGGGTGGGTGTGTATGTGTGTTGTGTGTGTGTGTGTGTGTGTGTGTTGGCAGCGGGACAGGTTGTGTTCTAAGTTTCCGTCAGGTAGGTGACCTAGTGAGCTGGTTTGCTATGACCCTCCACGTCTCAGTACCCATCAGTGACCTCGTCTTCCCTGGCGTCCCAGCCCTCCTACCTTTTCCACCTGCACTTGACGTAACAACAGCATAACACTGAAGCAATAGATGCAACATAAATCTGGATAAAGTTTTCTTTAAGCAGAGTTATAAAACACTGGAACAAATTGCCCTCTAAATTTATAGGCGCTACAAACATTTAATTCCTATGTGAAGCTGAGGGACAAGAACTTTGCATGTGTGGAATTCAAAGAGATAGAACGCTCACCACAAGCGTCCTGTGGACGGTAGCCATAAGAAGATTACACAGACACATAATTGGTTCTGGGAATCCCGGAATCCTGCCGTTAGTCCTGGGACTCTTCAGGACGTTCTGTCCTGGAGAGTTCATCCATGACACATTTATAATAACAGCTCAGGTAGGTCTTGCTGTAGAGGTGACTGTTGTAGAGGTGAATGTCCAGTCTCATCTCACGCTATCTAATACAATGTCCATGCAGGGATTGCAGTGCATTATAGGAAATTTTCCATATGAAAAATACTACTACCCTCCAATGTAGCTCGACTATCCTTAGCTGAACTATCTAGACAAAAGTAGGTAAGGCTTATATTTTGGATAAAGCTTCTCTGTCTGTCTGTCTGTCTGTCTGTCTGTCTGTCCGTCTGTCTGTCTGTCTGTCTCTCTCTCTTAAATCGCATTTCTATCTCCATATAAATGTCAATGAATGATTGTCTACAAAGCACTTGTTCCTTTATGTCTCCTGGACACATAAGTGCGTTGACCTTTTTAATGTCCCAATGACACTCAAACACCCTTCTTATACAAATATATCTATGTAACACATATATACATATTTGAAGCACACATGCACATACATTTGGCACGTATTATATATATATAATATATATATATATATATATATATATATATAATATATATAAATATATATATATATAATATATATATATATATATATATATATATATATATATATATATATATATATATATATATATATCTCGGCTCATACGTACGAATTTTATTCACATTCACATATACCCATGTCACAAGGGTAAACATACGCAGCAAACCACCCGTTTACACTCATTCATTCATATACGCATTCCGAATTTAATGCTTCGAAGGAAAAAAAAAACAATTTCATTCATATGATCCTCCTCGTGGCTCAAGAAGCTTATTTTTAAAACGTTTTATCGTCTATTTTCTCTGCTGGCAACTGAACGAGTGTTGCCAGACGCAGCGGTAAAAACAAAAGAAAGAAACTACTGAAAGCTGGGGTATTTACAATGTGAAAAAGGTTCCCCAACAGCCCAGTGCCTCGGGAGGATTTCCTCTCGAGTCTGGTAACGAAGATGATCATCCTGTCAACACAACTAGACAGGTTTGCGTCTCCCTTTACACGACGTTTCGCTCTCTGTAAAGCGACACCTTGCCCAAATAAATGTTTGTTCTGCAGGCTTGTGCCGCTCTTCACATACCTGACAGCGTGATGCCAGTCAAACCAGGCTACTGAGCTGTCATAACTGGATTCTGCAACACCCGAAACACGGACGCCGGGTGAAAAATCAAGTTTTTACGGGGTCACGGTGAAACGGTGAACTTTTCCGCTGAGCGTGGCGTTATAAATAGTCTGTGTTGAGCCTTGACCGTTGTTTTGCTTCGTGAAGGGTGAGATGTTGATCTCTGCATAAATAATAGAATTTACTGCCTCTCGTCTGGTCCGTATCTAATGTGAATATTCTCCTCCTCAGGATTTTTAATATTAATTCGCATTGTTTGTCCTTTTATCTGAGGTCCAAGGAATAATTAAGCAAGACACTTCTGTGCTTTTTTTTCACATTACCTGTCCTTGTTTGATTAGATGAGGGCTCAGTCTGACAGTCCATTGGCTAGTATTGGTGTTATATTGTGCTTAGAGTCCCGAATGATTTCTTGTTTGAGGACCTGTGGGTAGTTTGCACCTTTGCCAGATCCACACGCTGTCGGCGATATCCGGCTTGTGTGCCTCAGGAAACAGGTTCGGCGTGATGCCTACCCTCGGGTCATTTTCCTCGTCTGACTTTTTATAATTGTTTTTCTCCATGATAATATGTTATGTCTAGCCTCTGTTCCCCAGTTATCTTCATTACTTTGCACAAGTTAATAATGATCTCTATTAGCGGAATGTTGAGCCAATGTTAAAAATAATATATTACTTCAAATAGTCTATAATAATTCCTGGTCATTTATGATTAATGTGCTTATCAATCTTTTTTTTCCCTGCTGCAAATTGATCCAATGTAGCTGTGCATACAGGCTCCCACCTCTTAAATCTTTAATTAATAGGCAATGTTAGGCACTATCAAAAGTACTTTCAAATCCTTGTGTGAGTTTGCTTTCGAACCTCTTCACTTCAGCTCGGGTTTTCCTCCGTAAGCTTTATACAGCCTTCAAACTTCCACTTAACTCATATGATTATTCATCTTCCTTCCGTCTCATCTTGATCTGTTTCCTCTCATGTCACACAGTTTGTCAAAATGTACCACTTTAATGCCCCACCCTCTCTTTGTCTGTCTGTCTGTCTGTCTGTCTGTCTGTCTGTCTGTCTGTCTGTCTCGTCTCTCTCTCTCTCTCTCTCTCTCTCTCTCTCTCTCTCTCTCTCTCTCTCTCTCTCTCTCTCTCTCTCTCTCTTCTAATTACGTGAAGTTCAGTCTCTTTAGTATATGGTGAAGAAGATGTATGTACGACACTTGGATATCTTTATTGCTGGTAATAAAGATACCCAGGTGTTGTACATGTGTCTTGTTTACCAGGTTGTCAGTATTGTATACCATTAAAAATATGATGGCTTAGTACATCGTCGAAGCTAATGTCCTTTAACTCCAAGCCCTCCAAGACCAGCCTGGTGGAAAACATCTGAACTTTGCCCAAGTGTGTGTGTGTGTGTGTGTGTGTGTGTGTGTGTGTGTGTGTGTGAGTACTTTACTGATGGGGGATTCTGCGGTGCGGTAAATTCTAGGAGGCAGAAGAGAAAAACGAAGGAAGGTGGAAGAGAAAGAGAGAGTAAGAGAAGATCAGCTGGCCATATATAGTGCAGGAGGCGTGGCGGTCGGGTAACTCCCTCCTGCTCCAGAGACTCGTCCTTGAGCCTTGGATGTGGTCGAGGAAGAGTGACTATCAACCTCACTCTAGCTAAAAGTTCTCATTACCGACGGGGTGGAGTCAGTTTGGGTTTCATGCTATGAACACATCAGGAGCAGTGTGGGTCTCAAGCTATGAACACAATAGGGGCATTGTGGGTCTCATGCAAAGAACACATCCTGGTATATTAAAACACTACTACTGTAATATGACCCCTGTTATATGTTTTGTGTTACTGCAGGTATACAGGTAAGAATGTTGATGTTTTCTGTCTCAGGTTCACGTAACATGACTCACCAGTCTAACGAATTTCTACTTAGAATTAGAATGCACTTTTCTTTCCTGTGAAGTGGTGGTGGTGGTGGTGACGTTTTTGAGAGGGGAAGGTTGGCTCACTATCTGGAGCAGCCTTCAGGTCACCTAGATAACAGAGAGAAGTGTACGCCACCACTACCCCTGCCTAAACAACCACCGATACCACCAAAACAAACATCACACCACCAAAACCACCACTAACACCTCTGCCGCCACCAAAACCACGACCACGACCACGACGACTACGACGACGACGACGACCACCGCCGCCACCACCACCACCGTTACCACCATATTTATTCGAGGT